TAGTTTATGTGTGTCTGTGATTATGGTTAGTTTAATTACAATATTACTTGCGTGTACATGTTTATGTTACAAAACAAAAAATAATTAAAATAAAGTTTTCTTTCATGGTTGACAGAATACCAGGGTCATCAACAATCGTCAAAAACATCTGTATATAAAAATGTTAATATTTGTTGCCAATGACAGCCCAAGCTAATGTTTGACATTAAGTGATTAACCGATGGGCGGCACCGCACACATTTTTGATCATAATATATCCGTGGGTGTATGATATAACTTATTTGAAAGCAATTCTACTATCTGTTTCTTGTACCTCCCTGGATTATTGTTAAAAATATCCACTGTCTGAAATTGTTTGTTATATATAACAACCATACGACGCAAAGGAGATCGAGTGCCAGCATAAGTACGAGTAACAGCAAACAACAGTTTAGGACGCAGCTATCGCAAATGTGCACGTGATGGGATTGAATAACCAATACGGTTGATGATATCCTCACAATCATACTTATTATTACAAAAGTCATAAAACAATATAGCATCAAGTTGAGAGCGTCTTAATTTTAGGTCTAGTAGTCTATATTTTCTTAAAAGGTGCATATATGAAAGACTTTTACGGTAGCATCTAAAATTAACACGTCGCAGAAACTTTTTTTTAACCACTTCAATGTTGTGTTGTGACTGTATTTTTCATATGATGGGTTCCATATCGAGAGTCCATATTGTAATTGAGACCTGACTAAAGTTGAATAAAGTGTCATATATGTACATACTTGGATTTTTAAATTAATTAGATGATCTCATAACGAGCCCATACATTTTGAAAGCTTTGCTAATTATGTTTTGTATGTGAATGTCCAAGTCTAGTTTATAATCAAGGTATATATTCTGCTTATAAATTGCATATATTCTGCGTCGCTGTATTGTCGTTCGTTATAAAATTTCTGGACGTAAACAAGATGGCTTTGTAAACTAAACCAAAATACTGTATATGCATTTATGAATCGAGTATATGGTATTTCACATTTTTATAAATCAAGTATATGGTATTTCGTTCTTTAGGTAAACGGATAATTTATTATAAAATCATAAGTAATTAAAATATTATGTAGCTATTTACCCAACGAAAGTGTTTATGAATTATTTCTGCTGAAGATTTCGTTTACCAGATATCAATTTGTAGTTTTATTTGTTAAATCTCCATGCCCGAATACGGCCAAATTGAAATTAATATTTGAATTTTATATTTGCGTATTAGACAATGTAATATAAAAAAATATGGGCCATTTATAAAAACTGTTTGTTTTGTACAAGATTATTATAAATTAAGATTGGCATTATCTTATTTTGTTCGTAGCCTGATTATTTGGAAAAAAAAATAAAAACTACGTTTTAATTTTACAAAACAATAAATTGATGACATGACGTAGGTATGAAAAAAATTGTAGTGGGCTAAAACATAAAAAGTTGTATTATAGTTCCCGGATGCTTACCACTCCGGGGGAAACTATATTTTAGAGATTGATTGACCATGCATTTCTGACGATTGAATAACCTATAGGCGACAGCCCTACATGTTTAGGCTATAACCTCTCGCTCGGGTCTCGAGTGCACCTACTTATATATTTGTACTATGATAAAAGTGGACCCAAAATGGAACCCCGTGGGACACTAGAAGTTACATTTGTGATCTCCGACTCAGAATCCTATACCACAACTCTCTGTGTTCTGTTTAAGACATACGATTTGAGCCACCTCCAGAGATATACAGACTTCCTACTCAACCTACTCTAGTAATCAGTTTTATTGAAATATATTACTTATTAACTACCTATAAAGTATTCACGCTCTCTTAAAAATCTGTGCGGTGGTGTCGTGTGCGTCGGGTCGTTCCCTCAAATATAGTTGAGCAAAGCGAAGGCTGGCTAATGCGTCAAGCTCGTCAACGAGTGCTGCCAGTGGGGGCGAGACTACTTAATTTCGTCCATTATCTTTTAATATGAATATTGTATATTGATTTGTCAAAGAGTATTTAGGATTTCTGAGATTTCTAATGGAAAGTGAATTCACAGTCTAATTAAGTCACATTCCAGTAAGACTTTTCTGTGTGAATTAAAACTGGAAGAAAAATGCACCCCTTGCTGAGTATTATAGACTTTTTGAAGTCTACCGGGCTTTTTAAAGTCTTTAAAGGAGTTACTGTGACTCTGGTGGCGAGTCACAATAGATCTTTAAGGTCGCAGTGACTACATTGACCAAAAATTGTTCCTTTACACGTAACATAATAAATAACTTAAACTTACGATTCAAATAAAATAAAATAAATTTGAAAATGAGATATTATAAGAAACATGAAAAAATGACATTCTTATTAATTTTTACATTTATTGTCAAAAACAAAATTTGAATGAATATCATAGACTATATCCAAACATCGCGAGTGACATCTAGTTTGAATTCAAGTACTAATTTTAATTTTTTAAATATTTCCTCATTACTTTTCTTGAGAATAGTAAAAATACTGAATAACCAACACAAACATCATGGCTGTATGAGCTGAGTTCCAGTTGCCTAATGGTCAATCAATAACAAAACTGTGGTAATCCAAAATTTTTGGCTGTATAGCTTAATTCCTTCGCCTGTCCCATGGACAAAATACTATATACCTACTACTACGGTCTGTGGTAGAGATGGGTCGTTGAGAGATTTGCCGTCGACGAAAAGAAGCCGTTCATGGACCTTGATCGCCTAGTCGATCAACTAGTTAATTTTAACTATAGTTAACATATGGAACTACGTCAACGTGTATGAAACTTTGGACGAAGTTTAACGGTTTTAATGATTTAATTGAAGCGTATATCAATATTGATAAGTAAAAACTATTGATCATCTGTACCTAGTTACGTTTTATTTTTCGTGTTAACGTAGGAATATCTATTGTCTGGTAAGCTATTGTTTTATTTTGTACATCTGTGGTTATGATAGTTATGAAGGTAAGGATGGATGGCTAAACAGTTTCATGATTTTTTATTGTCAAGATAGTTCTAGTATTGTAATTAACTAATTAGATATTGTTTTAGGTTTTGTAATTAAAGGGCAAAACAAAACCGTCTTATTAAGTCTTCGCTGTCCGTCAGTCTGTCTGTCACCAGGCTGTTTCTCATGAACCTTGATAGATAGATAGTGAATATTTTCACATAATATGCATTTCTGTTTCCAATAATGAACAAATACTAAAAAACAGAATAAATATTTGCTTTGATTTAATAAAAAAAAATATTTTGCTTGATATCGATACTTGCAGCGGGTTGACCCTTGAAATATTTACCGAAGATTTATCTATATAGGTATTCACTTTAATAATAAACAGTTAAATTAAAATAAAATAAATACTCAAGTTGGCTCCCGTACTCCCGTAATGGCACGGAACTCTTCGTGTGCGAGTCCAACTCGCACTTAGCCGTTTTTAAACATACAGCTAAAACAAATATTATGAAATTTTTCTATAATAGGATAATTAAATTAATAATTTAATGAATCTCTTTATCTTTATCGCAAAAAAAAAACAAAATATACATTAAACTACAAATAGCTAACTTATACTAAATAGTAAAATTCTTTACACCGCCATGTCAAAAATCGTATAACACTATCTATCGGGGATTAACGTAATCAATAAAGTTAAACATGAATTTAAACAAGGCCCATATATTAGACACGCGTGTTCCACTATTTACTTACTTCTTTTGACTTGAGAGTTTAAATTATTTTAGCTGTCAAAGTTACATGGAAATTTTATTAATGGAAAACAACCGAATTCCATTGTATTATACAGATAAAGTTTATAGATGAACGGTGCGTTCTTCGTTTAGGCGTCAACTTTTTAACTAGTTGGTTGTATTATTGTATTATACGACAAAACTAAAGTGTTGTAGTCTAGGTGTACGTTGATCAACGAACGTAACGCTCTTCGTCTGATCATTGAAAAATCAACTAGTTGAATTATCAACTATAGTTAACGTATGAAACTACGTCGACAGGATAGACGTCGACGTATGTGTGCGTTTATTTATGGACTCAAACAACGTACAAATAATAACCTTATTGTATGGACTATATAGACTTTAGAAGTTGGCCGAAGTTTAAATTATTATTAGTTGTTATATTAATTAACTGTAACTATGATAGATTTACCTACTTCGCGTTTATGGAAAAAAGATAATATTATGTTTATTTTGTGTAAGTTCGTAGTTAGGTTTAGGTATAATAGGTTTCGTGATTATTAATATTCTAGCTATAAAATCTTTAATAAATGTTTTATTAAATTTTGTCAGTAAAAATATTATTTTTCGTTTATAGTGATATGTATTATTATTTTAACAGTATTATTGATGTACTGAACTAAAGGTTTTGTTTGTTTTGGTTCAAAATAAAATTATTTATTTTAATGTTCAAAATTATTAATATAAGAGTGTGAATAAAATTCTATAAAATTAAATAATCTATAAAAGTACTTTCAGTGAAAGATATCCCAAGGGAATCCTAATAAAACACGCAATGGGACGAGTGTATACTAAACATAAAAAATATGCATTGTAAGAATATTTGACCTATACTAACTAGTAAAATCCTTATCACCGCCGTGTAGATAAAAACAAGAACTGTATAACACCATTTATTGAAAACTAACGTAAACAACAATCACATTTGATATTCATATATACAAGGTCTATGCAAGGTATATACTCGCGTGTTGAAAAAGTTACTTACTATCGTTGAATTTAGAGTTTAAATTATTTCAGCTATTAATGTTACATCGAATCTTTATGAATGGAAAACAACCGAATATCATTGTATTAAACAGATGATAAAGTTATGCGTTGCAGTTTCTTAATATGTTAATGACGAATGGTGGATTATTCGTTTAGGAGTAGATTTTTTAACTAGTTAACCAAAGAACTGTCAATCGTCAACGCGTTGATTCTATGTTAACAGTTGATTTAACTAGTCCGTTGATTCAACGCCCATCGCTAGTCTGTGGTAAATAACGCACAAATTATATAAAGAGTAAATGTGTTCTGTGATATAAAGTAACCTCTTTTCGGTTTACGGGAGTTTTTTTTTTTTTTAGTTTTTGTTGTGCATTATCTGTAAGAATTATTCTTAAATTTAAGTAATTCTTTTTAACGATAAAAAAAGATTAATTAAAATTCAACAACCCTTTTGTCAATATCTTTTAAAATAGTTTATAAATATTGATTGATGAAAATAAGTGTAATGAAAGCTACCAAACGCAACGAATTTAGAGGTATTTTTTGACTTTTTTTATGTATTTGCATTGCAATTATGATCATGTTGTTCATTTACATGTAATATAAGCAAAAATAACTTATATTTACAGCTTTGGAGTTAAAACTCACGGAAAATTCGTCATCGCCACACACAATATATCTTAAAGAGCATGCCGTCAGAGAACATACAGCGGATAGACCGTCAGGTCGAACCCTACTTGTTGTTAACCTGCCCCCTTATGTGGACGAAAAGGGAATAATTAACGCGTTCCGTGAAGCTGGTACCATTAAATCTGTGGAGTTTTGTTCCAAGCCCACGACAGCAGAAAAAAAACCTCGAAAATACAAATTTATTGAGGAAAACACTCTTGAAACATATAAAGTTGCTTATGTTGTTTTCCAAAAAGTGTCACAGTTAGAAAAAGCTTTAAATCTATCAGAGTTAAGTCCTTTACATTCAGAGGACCACCAAATAAAACTTGGTATGAAGAAATGGATTCAGGAATATAATGATTCGGTTCAAATACCGAAAGTTTTGAAAGAATGTATTGAAACATTTATGAAAAAATATGATGAGGAAAATGCCAAAGCAGAAAAGAAAGAAAAAGCATTAGGAGAAGAAGATGACGATGGATGGGTCACTGTCACGAAAAAAGGAAGAATTCAAAGTTTTGCCCGTTCTGAAAATGTTGAGAACAAAATTATGGCTAAAGAAGAGAAAAACAAAAAAAGAAAAGAATTACAGAATTTTTACACTTTCCAAATCAGAGAATCAAAGATGAAGCATATTGTAGCATTGCGCCAAAAGTTTGAAGAAGATAAAAAGAAAATAGCACAAATAAAGCAGAGTAGAAGATTTAAACCTTTTTAGCTTAATAAAAAATATATATTATCACAGATATTTCTTTTTAATTTAAAGATTAACATTAACTTACTTTTCACTTGTTACTTAATTTTCTTAAACAATAGTTGAAATTCAATATATCAAAGTAATTGTATACACAAAATAGATTGAGTTCAGTTCTAGTTGAATTAAATTATTTTTCAATCACATAAATTACTAATATAACCTCAGTAAACTTATTAAATTAACAGTTTTAAGGAGTATAATATCATTTCTTAGACAGCATGTAACTACATAATAATTTTTAAACGGTTTCATCACATTTGTATTTTTATTTTATTGACATTCGGACCCTTTACCTAGTTCCTTGTTCACATAAGACTTGGGTGTTTATTGTCTTTTTAATTAAGATTATAAATAAATTATTTATTTATTTATTACATGTGTACATGTGATAATATATGATAGTGCATGTGAAAATATAAGATATCAATAACATATCTATGGTTATGTGCCTTATATAATATTTGAAAATAGTAAAATTTGCAAACCACAAAAATGTTTATAAATTAATATTGAATGAAAAACTGTTGCTTGTACCGATCTGCTTTTAAATTGCCTATATGTAAATTGAGACTTAATAAATAAATGTTAGAGTAGATAGGGATCAAAACTCATCAACATATAATTAAATAATTTGTTGATGAGTTTTGATGATTATCCTAAGAAGTCTGTTCTCTGGAAGAGTGTCAAGGGCAGCCAAAAGATTGCTGATGTTTCCATACACACAGCCATTGGCCAATGCAACTTGAACTGCTTGTCCTATTCTGTCAAGGCAATCCTGCAATACAACAAACATTACATATGAATTTACCACACAACTAACTCACACTAATGAGTTTAGACTGATACAAGAAACATCACTTACCTGTAACCTTCTGTCATTTTGCAATTTTATGCCTCTTTTAAGCAACTGATGTGCACATGCTTGAACATGGGGTGTGAGCCCTGTCAAATGTTGAGCATTCACTGCTGTTGGTGGGCCATGGGTCCTTCTGCCTGCTCGAAGGCTATGCAACACTGCCAAATGCAACTTTGTATACAATTCTGCCTCTGTCAAAACTTTATTGAATGCATTTGTCTTGAATGTTGGATGATCTCTTTCATTTTCAAGTTTTATCCGCTTTACTGGCACAATCATTTCCACCATTTCTTGGTCTGAAATAGTTTTAGTAATATTTTAAATAGTAACTAAATCACATAGGGATATGTCTATTACAAAAGTGAATCTGAATCAATATAGATTTTATTACATATAATCTAATATTTCACATAATATATACAAAAAATTAGAAATATACGATGTTGGTAGCAGATATTTCAATATCTGTTAACAAAGTTTTATTTTAATGTTCAATGTTAAAGACTAACAGACAACAATTACTATATTTTACCTTCATCAATATAAAGTGGTGCCAGTGCACACCAATGAACAAGTCCAGCTAATGGAGTAACAGCTGCCATAGGAATAGACCCACTAGGCAGAGCTGCAGGGTTCAGCTGTGCAGACATGCACAGGGTAGGATTAGAAAACACCTGCAACATGTTTTTTTTTTAAATATCAATGATTTTAACAAAACTATAGTGGCAACTTGAATACCAGAGGTGTTGCCGACCTATGGCAGACATACATATTGTTGCTAGTCTAGAGCATATAGACCTCTTCACTTGTAGTATGAGCCTAACATCTATAGCAATTATAATAAAAACAGTATAGAGTTCAAATTGTAAAGTAAAGCAAGATCCTGACTGTACAATATATAAACCTTATAAATAAGTTATTACATTTATTAGAAAAATAGAATAATAATAATTTGAGAATTTGAATGTATACTACTCCCTTCTCCTACTTTAACAATAGCATAAAGCAGAGCAAAGTTCAACTATGCTTAACTTATATACTAACCCAAGAAGTAATTACTTCTAACAAATTTCTGGGTGGCAGTTTCTTTGTTCCTTGCAAGTCGTGCATGTAGAGTTCAGTCACTGCTGTAATGAAATTTGAAACAAACTGTGGAGCAGTAATGGCAAGAGACTTGAGTGTGTTCTGATTGGAGGTGTTAAGGTAGAAATGATCTCTAATTATGTTCTCCACTAGTTGCAATGATAGAGCAGACGAACAACCCATCTGCTGTAGCCACACTCCAACAGCCAATAGCACCTTAAAATAATAAACATAAAGTTCACATTTCTATTTACTTAATTTTAAACAGAATAACTTGAGATTTTGGTGGCACTGAAAATTAATCTTTCCTAGAAAGTGAAAGCAAATATGAAAATATGGCTAATATATGAAAAAAACTCACAGAGGTACTTGATGCAGACACTGCCATGCTAGCAAGAATGCTCAATACTTTCAACCGTCTTTGACTTTCTATGCCACCAAACAAAGATAAGAATATTGTATTCTTAGTTGTATCATTCCCACAGGTGGAAAGGTATTCACATATAACATCAATCAATTGTAATTCTTGTAGGGGAGTGATACCAGCGGAACGGCGGTTACCGCGGCGATCTACCTCACAGAACACAAATTCAGCTATTACATCCATGGCAATGTCAAGTTGCTTGTTTGAGGGAGCCGCCCGACCTACCAATAACTGTTCTGAAAAATTAAACATATCAACGTCAGGAAATTCAGAAACAGTTACTATTCATTATATTTGAACAATTTTGCATTCACAATGCTTTTTGAAATATGTTGTTAATGAAAAATGCTTAAAAAATCCATTGTCCCTGGTACTCTGAGATGGGAAAGATTGTGCCTTTCGCAATCCGGGCGACTCCTCTAAACACTGAGCCACCTAGGGCCTAACAGGACTGACGAATTTTTCAAGCACTTATTACTTTTTCGCTACTCCTGAGCGTATTATCATCAATCTTCAGGCCAAACAGCCGAAAGAAACATTTTTACAAATATATAAACATTCGATAAATATGAAAATTTGTTCGAATCATTGAATTTGATCAATTTTGCATTCATAATTAGAATACATAAATATTAATTAATAGCACTAAAAACTTACCTATTCTGATAAGCGCTTCTTTTGCACAAATGGGAAAATCATATTTTCGAAGTTGATGTTTTAAATCTGATAAAGACATTTTGTGAAAGCAAAAGTGCAGTTCACAATCAATTAAATTATTTATACTTTCTTGACACTCTCTGATTTAAATAAAATCACGCAATCACAAACTAGTGTACTCTTTGAATCACAACGTGATCACAACCACATCACAACACAGTAGTAGTCATAGAATTAATAAGTACTGTTATAATCACAAACATAGACATTTTTTTTTTATTGATTTTTTCCTTAAAGGAAAGGCGAAGAGAGCTTAGCCCATATAGCCATTGTCTGTTGTATAAAATTTTTCTACGATATCATAGGAAAAAATAGGCCGTAGCCATGTCTTTGATAATAAACAGCGATATGAAGAATAAAAGCCATGAAGACCTTGTTTGTACTGTAAAAGTAAAATCAGAGTATAATGTCACAAATCGAGTTAAATGTCAGATCAAAATATTTCACCTTTTGTCCGTTATGTCATAATTTAAATTTTATATATCTCCGATAGTTGATACAACATAGTCGTAAATAGGTTTAAAACAACGTGGATTATTCAATAATTTCTGGAGGGTGCGCGGGATATTTTCAGGTTTATGATAAATCTCCAGAAGGCGATCTATGAAAAGAATCCTAGCGAGAGCAAAATGACTACATTCAAAGAAAAGGTGATCCAAAGTTTGGCTACTTGAATTGCAATAATTGCAGATAGGTGACGACACTATATTTATTTTATGAAGGTGAGCATTAAAACGACAATGTCCAAGCCTGAGACGAGAAATTATAGTATAATATTTTCTACCACTATAATGGGTTCCCAAGGAGAACCAAGGTTTTGTGATATTTTTGTTTATTTGCCTGTACCATTTTCCCTTGGTTAGAGTGATTTGTTCCCAAGTATTTACAAACTCATCACGCATTTTTCTTTTTATGTTTACCAAGATATCTGAGTCAGGTACTTGAATATTTGTGATGGGAATATTATAAGATGTATTTGTAATGGATTTAGCCAAATAATCAGCTTGTTCATTGCCAGTTACACCTATGTGTGCTGGTGACCATACCAAGACGATATTCAATTTAAATGATATTGTTAGATCTAAATATTTTGAGCGTATTTTATGAATTATGTAGCTAGTTGATGTATTAAAGTTTGGATTATTTAAGGCTTGTAAGACGGACATACTATCTGAAACTATCAACCAATTATCACCACCATTATTGCCCTCTCTCTGAGATTCAATATACTCTAAGGCTTTGAGTACACCATAACTTTCAGCTGTAAAAACACTAGCAATACTAGGGAGTTTATACCCATAACCTCTTCTATTTTGCATATCATAAATAGCTGTAGAAACATTATTGCAATTTTTTGCACCATCTGTATAAATTTGATGAAATCCAATCCAATTTTCTAATAAACAATAAACATCACTTTTGTTTTTTAAAGTCCTATCAATGAAAATTTTGATGGGATAAAGTTTTGACATAAAGCAACCTTCATAACAAGGCCATATAGAACTGATAAATATGTTGTATTCATTTCTTAATTTTAATATTTCAGGAAAATGTTGAAGTAAAAATAAACAATTTAATGAGGAAGCATTGATTGCCAAAAACTGCTGAAGTTTTCTAACTAAAGGATGTTGAATAATTGAAGAAATTTTCAAGAAAAATCTGGATATCAAATATTTGAATCTTAACATCAGTGGTGGTACATTACATTCCACCTGCATTGATATTATGGGAGTGGAACACATTGCTCCAACAATTATACGTAAGCATCTATTTTGAATTTTTTCTAATTTGTCTACTAGTTTTGTTTCACCTGCATAGCAAAAGAAAGCATATTCAAAGTGGCTTCTTACAAATGACTTATATAATATAAGTAAAATCTTGGGGACAGAACCCCAGTATGTACCTGCTAAAGATTTTAATATGTTACAGGCTTTTGTTGCACGGTTTATCAAGCAATCAACATATTCATTGAATTTGAAATTATTTTGATATATAACTCCTAAAAATCTAATATTGTTGACTACAGGTAATAAATTTTTATTATAATATATGGATATTACATTGTTTAATAACTTTTTTGAAAAGACAACAACTTTGCTCTTCTCTGTGCTGATTTCTAACTCCAGACTTTCATAGTAAGCTTGTAACCTTTGAAGAGCAGCATTAACTATTTCCAAGATCAAGGACAAATTATTTCCAGAGCAATATACTGCCAAATCATCAGCAAATTGTAAATTATTAACTTGTGGACCCAAAATACCGTTTAATTGATGTATATACAAAATGAATAGGAGAGGACTTAATATTCCACCTTGAGATACACCTTTATAGGAGCATCTGTACCCAAACAACTGATTACCATACTTGACAAATATTTTTCGACCATTTAAAAAATTAAATAACCAGTTTACTAACTTTCCAGGAAGCTTTAAATTATACAAAATTTTAGAAAGGGTTTCCAAATTAATTCCATTAAAGGCGCCTATTACATCAAAGAAGACAGCAACTGTGAACTCATTTTGACAAAAAGACTTATGAATGTCTAAAGAAAAATGACACAGACTTTCCTTAGCAGAGCAACCACGCCTAAAGCCGAACTGATTGTAAGGTAGTATATTTTTTCTTTCAATAAAATGCTCAAGACGCTGTTTTATAACTTGTTCAAATAATTTACCAACACAAGAACTTAATGTTATGGGACGATAAGATTCTGCAACATTTGGGATTTTTCCAGGTTTTAGTACTGGGATGAGACAATCAGTTTTCCATTGTTCTGGGATTAGATTTCTTGACCATAGACCATTTAACAAATTTAAGAATACTAGAAGATTATCATCATTAATCATTTTGATCATTTTGTACGAAATCCAATCTAAACCAGTCGATGTATTTTTCCTCGATTGTAGTGCAGCCTTGAGTTCAGCAATAGAAAATGGGTCAACTAGAAATAAATTTGTATTGTTATCCCAATTATTTGGTGAATTTTGAACAGTGTCAGGTGTATAGTTACCTAAAAATGAAGGAATCGAATTGCAATCATCACCTTGTGATATAAGTTTTCTACCAAATTTTCTCATCTTGGCCCATATTTGATTCATTGGAGTAAGTCTACATATTGACAGACAAAATTTCTCCCAACTAGACCTTTGTTCCTGCTTTAAGGTTCTTTTCTTCAATGCCTGAGCATGTTTGAATGCAATATAATTTTCCAGACTAGATTTGGATTTGAACTTAATGAAAGCTTGTTTGCAAGCATTCACAGCTTTTGTACATTTGTCATTCCACCACACTAAAGGGATTCTTTTATGTCGTTGTGGGAGATTGGGACCACTATCTATATTATTTTTATTCCCGTATCCATAATTTACTCTTCCCGACCCCTCGACGATTCGAGGGGTGGGAGGATTCCCCCCGGCAGAGGAGGCCAGACGGCCGGGGGTCAGGGCGACAAAGAGAGAAAACGGCGGACGATCCTTGCGTTATCGAGCAAGATCGCCCGCTGGAGCCTCGCAATCATTGGTCCGTCACGGAGTCCCAACCTCTTCAGATGGTCGTGAAGAGAAGTCGGGACTAGGCCATTCGTTGACACTACGACTGGGATGATCTCAGTGGATCACACTCGTCACATATCGGTAACCTCGTGCGCCAGGTTCAGATATTTAAGTTTTTTATCTGATTCGGCTTTCACGAGGTTTTCATCGAATGGGACGGTGACATCCACTAAGAACACCCGAGATTCCGCCCGGTCCATCAGTACGATATCAGGCTTGTTCGCAGGAACAGTCCTGTCCGTAATGACGGACCGGTCCCAGTACAATCGAGCGCGGTCGTTTTCAAGAAGTGGCTCCGGCACATACTTATAGTACGGCACCTTTTCGCCTATGAGGCCGTATTTGAAGGCTAGCTCGAGATGGAGTATTTTGGCTGCTTGGTCATGTCTGTGCAAATACTCGGTATTAGCCAGTACAGGACAACCGGAAGTAATATGCCTGAGTGACTCACCGGGCTGGTGACAGGCTCTACAAACGTCCTCTGTCCCATCCTTCAGGATATACTTCCGGTAGTTTCGGGTCATAATGACCTGGTCCTGTATTGCACAGACAAAACCTTCGGTTTCCCCAAAGAGGTCCCCGAAGCGCAGCCAATGCACGGAGGCTCTCGGATCCACATGACGCTCGTGTAGCGCCTTGTAGAACCTACCGTGCAACTCCTTCTCCCTCCAAACGGCCTCTCGGTCAGTGGTGCTAAGTACTGCCGGTTCTCGCCATTGCTCGGTGGCCAAAGAGAGAGGGGTTAGTCCTACATCACATGCTTTGACATCTCTATGCAACTCACTGGATTCCGATTTCGCCAGGAAGTAATTACGGAGACTGTGTATCTCGCGGTTGTGCAGGGTTTTCGCACTGAGCAGCCCACGACCGCCGCTCTTCCTCGGGATATACAGCCTCATCACTGACGATCTCGGGTGGTGCATCCTATGGAGTGTCAAAGTTGTGCGCACTTTCCGATCCAGGGCGTCCAATTCGGTCTGAGTCCATCTGAGTATGCCAAAGGTGTACATTAGGACTGGCATGACCCAACCGTTGATGGCCCTGACTTTGTTGACGCCTGACAGGTAGCTTTCAAGCACCTTAGTCAGGCGTCCCAAAAAGGCCTCCTTAACGGATTGTTTCACGTCCGCCATATGCACACCCAGATTCTGTGACATACCCAGATACCGGTATGTATCAGTTTCCGAGAGGGTACGGATGGTGGATCCATCCGGTAGGTCCACTTGGGTGGAATCACTTATCCGACCTCTATCCACATGGATAACCGCACACTTGTCCAGCCCAAACTCCATGCTGATGGAGCTACTGAAATCCTTTGTGATTTTCAGCAGCTCCGCCAGCCTCTGAGCATTTGGAGCAAGCAACTTGAGATCATCCATGTAGAAGAGGTGAGATATTTTGAACAATCCTCTCTTCAACTGAAAACCTGTCCCTGGTTTATCCAGCAAAGTGCTAAGCGGATTTAGGGACAGGCAAAACCAAAGTGGACTCAGACAATCGCCCTGGAATATACCCCTCTCAATCTTTATTCGGTCTTCCGC